GAAGGAGGGGAAATCAGAGGGGGAGATGAACCATGAGAGACTATGGACTCTGAGAAACAAACTGAGGGTTTTAGAGGAGAGGGGGGTGCAGGGATGGGTTGACCCGGTGATGGGTATTAAGGAGGGCATGTATTTCGTGGAGCACTGGGTGTGATACGCATACAATGAATCATGGAACACTACATCAAAAACTAATGATTTAATGTATGGTGACTAACATAACGTAATAAAATAAAATTAAATTAAAGTTTCTCAGTGAGAATGTGGTAATAGTGAAGACTTTGATTCTTTGTGTGCATGGAAATGTCTATTTCATTCTTACTATCGAATAAAAATTTGTTTGAAGTTAGAATCCTGAATTATCTGGTATTTTCTCTCAGCATGTTGAAGTTATATTCAATTGTCAGCTTATGCCTTCTGTTAGAAGTCTGATATAAATCTATTATTCACCTATTCAATTTTTAATCTTTGCATGCTTTTATGATCCCCCTTTATCTATATGTATATTTATGTTTATTTACTCTGTACAGCACTCACCATGCTTTCTGAATGTGAGAATTCATATCATTCATCCATTCTGGAAAAACTTTAGCCACTAGGTCTTCGAATTTTACTTCTCCCTCATTCTTTTCTATATTTCTGAAAATCCTCTGATGGGTTTTCTCATTTCCATATTCTATGTTTTTTTAAACTCTCTTCCATATTTTAAAATCTCTTTTTTTCTCTGTGTTAAATTCTGAATAGTCTTCCATAGAGTCTTGGTCTTTTAATGTTTTTAGCTATTTTAGGTCTTTAATCAATTTAAATATATGATTTAATAGTATCTAATTTAGAATTTCTGATTATTTTGATTTTGCTATTTAATTCTGTTGTTGTGTTTATTGACTCCCAAATGTGGTAGATTCTTCATATATCTTATAATTGTTAATTATGTGGGATCATTTTTAGTAGGACTTCATCTGTTTGAATATTGTGCATCTTGAGTTGAAGATGTATTTCTCTACAGAGTTTTTATTTGCCCTGCCTGAATTTCCAGGGATATAGAGACATAGGGCCAATCTGTGTGTTAACTTTATGGTTTGGGGTCCGAGACTATGTTGCTATTACATAAATCTTAATTTCTAGCTATATGTGATATCCCAACTTCTAGCCAATGGTTATTGATATCCAGGATAGACCTTGAGTCCAGAGGGAGCTAAGAAGGTATCTGTCAGTTAGTGGATTCTTTAGTCCACCACACTTTTCCAGCTACTTTTTTTTCCTTTTTTTCCTCCTACAGCCAAATCTCCACACTCTCTTCTGCTTCTACCTGGAGGCAGAGACTCTTGTTCATATTGCCTGTCCAGGGACAATGATGCATCTGGATGGCCCATTGCAGTACTGTAATTGGTCAATCACTGTGTAGCTTGACTATTCTTTCTATACCTACAAACATGATGATGCTATTTAATTCCAAAGTGGTAGCCTCCTGACTTCGTTCTTGCCTGTGTCTCCCTTCTTTTATCCAACACCCACAGCAACACCTAAGGTTAGTGTTTGATTGGATAAATGGGGACTGTAGCCTAGCCAAGTTGACACATAAAACTGATCATCCCAAGTATTTCCTTGAGAGAACCTGGAGGATGTTACATTACCCAAGTAATTAGGTATACACTGCTGAGGGGGCACTAACGTCACTGAGAAACTTAGTGCCTGCCATCCAGAGGAAAGGCTTAATGATAGATGACTTTATAGAACTGAACTCTCTGAGAGCAATGAGGATGACCAGATCTAAAATAATAGAGGTCAGGTAGTGATGCTGAACAAATTGAAAGCAAAGTGGTTATAAGTATGGTAGAGAGTGATCAGGTCATGATCTCACGGTCCTGGGATCGAGCCCCACGTTGGACTCCCCACTCAGTGCAGAGTCTGCTTGTCTCCCTCTCCCTCCTCACACACTCTCTCTCAAGTAAATAAATAAATATGTAAAAGAAAAGAATCAGAAACAGTTTACACTTCAAATAGACAGTAGTAGTGTTGCCCCGAGGCTATGTTAACCTCTCACCCTCTGTTACAATACAACTCAGAGAGGCTTGAGCCATCTAGACATCCTCCAGAATATCATACTATTTCACTCTATTAATGACTTGGTGAAGTTGATGATCATGAAGTGGCAAGTATGTTGATAAGAACCATGATAAGAAAAATTCCCTCCAAGAGATAGAAGATAAACACTGCAATGATTCAGGGGCTGGCCTTAGTGAGATTTTTAGGAGTTCAATGGTCGGAGGCATGCTGAAACAGCTTCATAGTTGTGCCAACTTCAAAGCAAAGGACAAATTACTGCATCTCCCATCTCCCATCACAAAGAAGAAGGCACAATACTAGGAGCCTAATTGGGTTTGGGGTCATCATATTCCACATCTGGCCCTGCTGCTTCTGTCTATATATTAGATGATCCAAAATACTTCCAACTTTGAGTGGGATCTAGAGTAGAAAAGGTCTCTGTAGGAGGTCCAGGCTGCATTTGGACCATATGGTCCAGCAAAAACTATAATGTTGGAGGAATCCATGGTGGGAAAACCTTCTGTAAGGAGTTGACAGCAGTCCCAGTAGGAAAATCACAGTATAAATTCCTACGGTTCACAATATAAACAGCTAGGCCATGTTATGTGCAACAGAAGGTTAGATAGGTTTAGAAAAACAGTGGCTGACAGGCTCCTGAGCACGGGTGGATATGGAACACCTGACCAAGGGTCATCAAGTGGTCATAAGGCCAGAACTGTACAGCCAGAGCCAGGTTTTCTAAGACTTCTGAGTCAGGCAGGACCAGCAGCAATTTATTGTTGGATGGAAGTGGTACATCCAGGATCAGGCACGTGCAGAGCTGATGGGCACAAGTAAACTGCAAGAGTAGCGAGTCTAGAACCCCTTGACATTTACCACTGTTGTACTAGTATCCCTTTCCCAGCTCATGCTGGTGCGCCTATGAATATGGGGGATCCACATGACTGCTGGATGTGGCCAGAACTCAAGCTCAGTTTACAATGGGTAGGCTTGGTCTGTGGTAGAGGCTGAAAATGGACTGTAGTTACAATATAGCCAGTGGTGCCCTGGAGTTGGCTCATACTACACACGCCAAATATACGTACCTCTTCCAAACTCTGCATTCATAGACATCACTTTGGGAGCTTGAAATGGCCATGGTGGGAGTATTTTCCCTGCAGAAAGCTGTAAATATTATAAATTGGGGCTCTTTTTTCTGGAGAGTTGGTTGTAAAATATTTACCAGCACCCCACTGATCACAGTCCTACTCAAGAGTGGCCTTGAAAAAAGTGGTGAAAGGAAATTCTCCCAATGAGCAGAGCTTTGGGTGATGTACCTAGACATCCACACTATGTGGAAATAGAAGTGGCCCAAATAAGAACATATACAGACTCAAGAATGCTGAGAAACAGCTTGGTCAGAAATTTGGAAGGAGAAAAATTGGAAGATTGGGAACTAACAGGTGTGTAGTAAAGGTGTATGAATGGACGTAAAAGGAAGATTGAGTGTGAAGATCTCTGTATGCATGTTAATACCCACCTGAGAGCATCCACCGTGGAGGGAGACAACAACCAAGCAGTCAGAGCTGACCCAGCCAGTTGATGTTAGCCAGCCTTGGACGTGAGCCATTTCAGTGCTGGCACAATAGGCCCATGAACAAAGTAGTAGCCATGGTGGACTAGATGGAAGCCATGTATGGGCCCAAAAGCTTGGATCCTACTTACTGGGGCTGATTAGCTACTGCCATTGTATGACCATATGACCACAAAAATCTTCTAGTCCTATCAATCCACTGCCTTGAAACTGCTGGCCTGACTGAGCATTGAAATGTCCGTTGAAGGCACAGCTGAGGCACCATCTCAAAGATGGTGAGACCATGAGAATGCGGCACCATTTTCTAGGGTGTGGTATGCACTCTAGTCAATAACCATTATATGGTGCTATGTCCCCAGTAGGTAAGACTTGCATGGGTTCAGGAACCAAGGGATAAAAGTAGGAGTTGCTGTGTAACTATCACATTAAGTGACCCACTTTGAAATTTATGCCTCTCACCCCTGTAATTCTAGGCTCACTGGTTTAGAGGTCCTAGTTTCTAAAGGGAGAATGCTTTTTGGGGGGAATAGCAAAAGTCCCATTGAATGTTAAGTTATGGCTGCCTCCCAGGTACTTTGTAGACTAAGAGAAGAGTCACAAACCTGGCAGGGGTAATTAACGATGGTCTTCAGGAAAAGGTACCGCTTATACAATGGGGGCAGGGAAGAATGTGTTTGGCATCCAGGAGATCCACTTGAGCATCTCTTGGTACTCCTTGTCCAATTTCTATTTGCCAAGTTTCTATCAGCCATGGCCCGAAATGGGTACTGTGACTAGGGAATCCTATCTCTCAGGGATGAGGGTCTTAGTCACCTAACCAAATACTTTATTTAAACCAGAAGAGTAAGCTAAAGGTTACAGAGATCTAGAATAAGTAGTAGAAGAGCCACGCAGTGAGACCAGTTGCAGTGATGGGGACTTTAGTTTGTCCCTCTAGCCTTCCTCTTATAACTTAGTACTGGGGAAAGAGGCCATCACAGTCCTGGAGGAGTTACTCCCAGAACTTACCTGAAGGCTGTGGATATAAGCAACGTAAGGGATATACTCTAGTATGTACATACTGAAGGACTTATTCCTCCACTTACTGTAAGTGCTGCCAGATGTGCTGTCCACCAGCCAGCTCCGCCTGGGACTTGCCCTTGACTGAAAAGAGCCCTTGCCCTGAGTGAAGATGCTTGGCCCCCTTGTGTCAACTCAAGACAATTCTGAAGGGCCATCCCAGTTTCAAAGCCTCCCTAGAGAGTCAGCTGAAGTCTTAGGTGACACTGAATGGCAACTGTACTTTGCCCTCTGCCCAATCCTGCTTCCTTCCCTTCCTCCACAGATCTTGATCCTGAGAGCACTCTCTAATAAATTCTCTGCATGCTAACCTCCATTTCAGAGTCTGCTTCCTGGGGGGAAGCCTGAAACAGAAGTAGATGTTAGTAGCTGCCCAGAAGAACCAGAGCTGCCACTGCCCTTGCCAGAAGACCTGATTTCTGTGTGTATGGCCACCACCTCGTACTGCTCACTTCTGCATCCAAATCTCAGGTTGGTGTAACTGCATGGAGGAGCTGTAGTTAAAGGGACTCTTGGAAATTTAATATTTAGCTTTCCAGTCTCTATAGTATAGGAAGTTAGGCTAAAGTGGGGTTTGAATGGGTGTAAATTGGGTGAGAAAACTTACAGTATCTGCCATACTCTCTCTCTTTACTATTCAAAATCCATTTATTCTCAAACACATAAACATCCAAACAATAATAGCAAGAACAACATACTCCTGGCTGACATAATGCCATGATTCCTCCTACAAATGCACTCTCACCCTCTCCTCAAAATGGCTGAGCAAAAAGTCAATCACCGCATCTACTCTGAGTGATATTCATTTCTACTTTAATTCACTCATAATCTCATTTTCTTATCCTGTATCCTAGGGACTAGATTATAAAATTAACACCACTAATGCACCTTATTTAAGGTAATGGGGAAAGGGAGATGGATAAAAAAATCAAGAAAAAAATTAGGTAAAACCATCCTCGTCTTTTTACATCTGGTCACAAATTTATTGTAGATATTTATAATTCCTTTCCTCTACTACCCATTCTGGTTTTGCTAAGCTTTCATCCAGCATCTTGCTTGGTTGGGGTTCTTTCTCTGGTGATGCAACCATAATTTTCATGCCTGAAACATCTGAGTTCTTAGTGATCTTGCTTATATGGGGTTGCTGTAGTCTTTTGGAGTGTTCCTTTCTTTTTAATTGTGGTAAATTATACATAACATAAAATTTACCATTTTAATCATCTGTAAGTGTATTAATTCAGTGACATTAAATATATTCACAGTGTGTGTAACCACCACCAGTGTTTATTTCCATAACTTTTTCATCATCCCAAACAGAAACTCTATACCCATTAAGCAATAACTCCCCATTCCACCCTCTAACACTTGCCTTTAGTTATCTCTATTCTACTTTCTGTCTTTTTGAATTTGCATATTTAAGATTCTTCATATAAGAGGAATTATATAATATTTCTCCTTTGGTGTCTAGCTTATTTCACTTAACATAATGTTTTCTTTTTTTTTTTTTTTTTAAAGATTTTATTTATTTATTTGAGAGAGAGAGAGAGAGCATATGAGAAGGGGGAGGGTCAGAGGGAGAGGCAGACTCCCTGCTGAGCAGGGAGCCCGATGTGGGACTCGATCCTGGGACTCCAGCATCGTGACCTGAGCCGAAGGCAGTCGCTTAACCAACTGAGCCACCCAGGCGCCCAACATAATGTTTTCAAAGTTCATCTATATTATAGCAAGTATCCAGATTCTTATGCCTTTTTACGGCTAATATTTCATTGTATGTATATACCCATTTTATTTATTCATTCATGTGTTGGTGGACATTCGATTTATTTTCACCTTTTGGCTATTGTGATATACTGCTATGAACATTGTTGTACAAGCATTCAGTTCTTTTGAGTATATACTTAGGAGTGGAATTGTTGGATCGTATGTGGTACTTCTGTGTTCAACCTTTTGAAGAACTGTCAAACTGTTTTCCACAGCTGCTGCACAATGTTACATTCCTACCACCAGTGCATGAATGTTCCCATTTCTCTATATCCTTGCCAATACTTGTTATCCCCCCCTTTTTATTATAACCATCATAGTAGGTATTAAGTGGTATATTAATATAGTTTTGATTTGCATTTTCCTAGTAACTAAGGATGTTGAACATCTTTTTCATGTCTTCCATTAACTTTTATCACATAACTAAAAAGAACCATAGAGGATATTCTGGGTTCAGATGTACTCCCCCTCTATGCCCATTCCTCCTTTGGATTCTGGAAAAATCATTCCAGCCAACATGATAACTGAATTTTGTCTGTTAATTCAGTGGTTTAGGAGCCCCAAAAGACCAGGTGGCAGCCTCAACTTCCAATTTGATGGGATATTGTTATTTCTCTCTAGAAAATAAAGCATTCTATCTTTGGCTAATAAAACTTTTAATCCAACAAAGATAAAGTCAAGGAGACTGAAACAAAAACATTTTGCAAATGAACCATTAGGTGAAATTAAAGAGAGACCACCCACTTTCCACCCCTTTCTTCCTGGAACCATGTGTCCTGGCTACTGAAGACACAGTATCATAAGTAATTTCAGAGAGTATGCCATTTTCGGTAGAGCAGCTCCCCAAGTACACAAAGTATCTCCCAACCAGTACTGTAGCTATGTCTTTAATAAGCCATTCCACAATTATTTTTATCAGGTCAACTATAGGGGGATGGAGTAGATGGTGAAACCAGTGAATCCTATGGGCATGTGACCATTGCATTATTTATTATTTTTTCCAATGAATTTACCTCCTTAGTCAGAAGCAATGATGTATGTAGGATACCATGTTGGTGAATAATGCATTCATTTAGCACATGTAAATTAATGCACAAAGAAGCAATTGCAGCCAGGGTGGCCAAATCCATATCCAAAATAAACATCGGTGCAGACAATAACATAGTGAAAGGGAGTCAGGTGGCTACCTGGTTCCTTCATATTAAGGTTGCCCTACTGGGGGCTCAGCACTGGTTTCTGTTGCTTGGAGATTGGAAATTTAGTAACAGTAGAGGAAAATCCATGTTTCACCCATACATAACCCCGTATCTATAACCTCTTATTTCATAAGCCAATTGAGCATGGCTAAGTGAAGGGAACCAACCAATATATACAAAATAGGTAATCTTGACTATTATTGAACACTTTCTTTTTTTTTTTAAAAGATTTTATTTATTCATTTATTTGAGAGAGTGAGAGAGAGAGAGCACATGAGAGGGGGGAAGGTCACAGGGAGAAGCAGACTCCCCGCCGAGCAGGGAGCCCGATGAGGGACTCGATCCCGGGACTCCAGGATCATGACCTGAGCCGAAGGCAGTCGCTTAACCAACTGAGCCACCCAGGCGCCCTACTGAGCACATTCTTTGCAGAAGAATCTACTATTGAATATTGACCTTGAACACAAATATCTCCTTTCCCTTGCTGTATATTCTGAATGGTTCGTCTATATGACTCTTTCCCAAATCCCCTTGTTGTCAATCCTTTAAACTTGTTTTTTTCCAAGACCCAGACATCTGACTGAACTGTTTACCTATGTCTAGCATTTGAAGAGATCCCTACCTCCAGTTATCTCTTCTAAGAGTCAAAGTGGACATTAAGCTGTATTTCCCAAAGTTCTGCCCAGTTGTAAGCCTTTTCCATCCCTTGTCAGTGAGATTGCAAAGAACACTCATAGCTGGAGCCAGCATATGTTAGAGAACCTTCCTTAAACAAGGCTTGAATATTTCACCCTCAGCCACCTGGCTATAGGGAATTGCCACTGAGGTCTTAGATACATGTTGGTGAAAGGACAGACTAGGAGTATGAGAACATCTGCTGGCCTCAAAAGGAAAGTAGCTATTTGCTGAAGAGATTTTGTTCCAAAATTCTTGGAGTTTTTATTATAATTATCCTATCCCTCTAGAGAGGCTACCAAACACTGTGGGAAAGGATACAATGTTTAGGCAATTGTTTTTTACTTTGGAATGAAGATACTGACATTCCTGGACCACTGAAACCCCAGAAACTGCATGGAGAATAGATCTCTGAATTTACTTGGATTTTAGCTCTTACCCTATGGCATGTGCACATCTTTCCAAGACATCTAGAGTACTTGTTACTTTCAGCTCACTAATCCTATTAGCACATTATCAGTGCAGAGGGCCAGAGAGATGCCCTGTGGGATGGTGATGATCAAGTTCTTAGTAGACTAAATTATGTCATGGGACCAGGGGGTTGACATAGCCTTGAAGGAAGTTGGTAAAAGTATAATGCTAAACCTTCCAGGTGAAAGAAAGCTTTATGTAGACATAAGGGTGGGGTAGGGGGCATTTTCAGGATTAGTCAGCACATTCCAGATATTAGGGGTTGTGTTCATTTGTTCTAATAATGAGATCTCACTTGAAGCAGACCTGCTATGGAGTCACCAACTGAGAAAGCTTAGTAGTCAGTCTACTATTATTCTCAAAAACTTATTTTTTTCTCACATAGGTCAAACAATGACTTAAAAGAGGTTACCATGGGAATAACTATCTCTCAAATTTCATTTCTTTAATGATGTTACTCTATGACCCCCCAAGTGATAACAGTATTCATTTTGGCTTACAGTTTGGAAAGTGAGGGAGAGGTTTCAGAGCTTCCACTTATCCCTCCTTTTCCATTATAGCCTCCAGCTATATGGTCAGAATTCCATTTTAGTGGATTCTTCTGATTGCTTAGAATAGCTATTACAACTATGTGGGTACAACAGCAAGTGGACAATCTATTTTGATCTCAAAAGCCCTGTGATCAACTAGCTTCCCTTGAAGATTCTTACTGTTCAAACAATTCTGATTATTAATGTGATTCTGATGCCTATTTTGGGAATCATACCTACCTCACCTCTGGCACGTGCTACTTGGCTTCTGCCATTCCAGGATTTAGTTACCCTCATTTAAATAAGAAAGCCATTTTCAATAGGGTTTTCTTTACCTTTGCTTATGACCTATAGAGGACAGACACCGATGCACTTAAAAAAATGCTGTCACTTGTCCCTTGCAAAAGCATTACTTAATATCAAGGTTTAATGAGTGTTCTCTGGGCCCTTTTGGTAGATATAGTTAGAGAGTGGGCAAGCAGATTGAGCATGAAAATTTGTCCCAACCTACCTGTTTTCTGAAGTCTTTAGGTTCTTTCCTGCACATTGTGTCAAGAAATTTCTGGCATCTCAACCTCATTTCATGTGGAACACCTCTGAGTCCAGGTTTTAGAAAAGCAAGTGAACAAACAGGACTGCCATCTGTTTAAACCAAAATCTCTCTAATAAGTGTAGCCATGTTGATTAATTCAACCTGATCTGGAATTATTTACCTCCTTCTCTAGTCTAGAAACCTTAGAGTCTGTTCCCATGTATATTATGCAGGTTCTTGATGATCTGAGATAGAAAAATTTTGCAGTTGTGTTTGTCTTTCCTTCTTTTGTTTAACTTCATAAAC